ATATTTATTCTTTAGGGATTAGTTTATTAGACTTTTGGAGGTATTCGTTGAAACGTTCTCTTATTTTGACATCTCTGTTGTTTTCAGGTGCATAGAAATGCTTAGCTTAACTTATTAATCTAGCAAATAGAGTTTGGGTCGCTTGGGCTACTCCCTTTCACTTCAACTCTGATATCGTGCAGCTCGAGAACGGCTAGTTGGAACGTAGGGGTCGTTGGAAAGAGGATAGCCCAATAAGTAAATAATAAAGAGGATTATATAGTGAATAAAATACGATGACAAAAAAATTCCAACATGAAGGGGCCTTAGAAACGTATATTTGCTACTATAGACCAATTCAAGTATAACGTGCGAAGTAGCATATGACAAGACACAGCGGCATGCCATAAAGACCTGAGGCTTATATTACCTAAACTTATTAACGTACAGATTTGTACAAGGTGTCATGTGCCAACAAAGAAAATATACCAAAGGGGCATTAAGGTTAAAATGTCCAAACGGCTTAATGTTTAAAAATCTACGACGTATCACATGCTATAGAACAAATAGAATACGATAACATAGAAAAATCAATCAAGGCGTTTTACCAAAGGGGTCTTAAAGGCAGAATGTAACATTAGAACGTGAAATGTAAGATCTGACATAGAACGTAAAATTTGATTTACATTAAAATGATGGTCATGATGGTTATGCATTAGAAACAATACCCGGCACAGCCAGAACACGAAGACTACTGGACCGGTAAAGATTTTCTTCTTAGTAGAGTGCCGTCTCCCTACGGAGGTTAGCAATCATAATGACTATTTAGAACTTGCTGTTCTAAATGAATCAATCGATCTGCATTAAGACTAATCACGTAGATTCTTTAACCATGAGTTCTGCCTTCGGCCACCAGATCTTCTTCCTTGAATCTTTCCTTGTATGAGTCTCAAAATTTCATATTTTGGTTCCCTCATCATGTGGCCTAGGTATTCCAGTTTTTTGGTTATATAGTGGTGATTAGTTCTGTTTCTTTACCAACCCTGTCCAGTACTTCTTTATTTGTAATTCTATCAGTCCATGATATTTTTAATATTCTGCGGTATAACCATTCTTTTTAAATTGCATTTTTTTTTTAGTCCAAGTCTCAGCTCCATATAATAATATTGAAAATATATAACAGCGAATGGTACGTAGTTAAATCTCCCAATTTAGATTTTTGCACATTAGGAGTGGCTTCATTGGTATAAACGCTGATCTAGGGTCTAATCTCTATGAGAGATCATTGGTTTCATTGATCAAAGTTCCCAAGTACTGATATTTTTCTACTTGTTCTATCACGTTACCATTGATTGTCAATAGGGGATGTATATTTTGTGGTCTTTTTGTAATTAGCATGTACTTCGATTTTTTAGCTTTTATTCTTCTTCTTCTGGTTCCTATCCGTTTCGGATGTTGGAAATCATATTGGCAATCATAACCTTGCTCGCTGCGGCTCGAAACAGCTCCGTTGAGTTTTTCTTAATCCATGTTCTTAAATTCCGCAGCCATGATATTCTCCTTCTACCGGATCCTCGCTTACCTTTGACTTTACCTTGCAATATAGACTGTAGCAGGGAGTAATGGTGCTGATTTCTCACATTTCATAGCTCACAGCGTTTATTGTAATTCCTATCTCAGAACTATTCATTCTTAAGCTTTATAAGATGTTATAGATCTTCTATCCGGTAGAGATAAAAGTACTGAAAATAATTACACGAAATACAATGAGAGATCAAAGAAGTAGTGAAGACATCCGATGAAAATTTAACGTACAGTGTATAAACGAGAGAATACTAAACAAAAAAAAATATGATGAAATAGCCACATAAGCAGAATGGGGGAGACTTTTGTAACCAAAATAGCAATAGAAGTGACAATCTTCCTTAGAGAAATATTAATTCGCCAATGAACCACAGATAAGGTTACAGATACAGCTCAGCTCACAGATTCCATTTCGAAGTCCTAAATATGGTAAGCGTCTCGACCGGATCCCGAAATAAGAAGAAGAGGAGGGACACAAAATCGCTTTATCTATTTCATATTTTACTTCCCTCGTGGTATTGTTATATAATTTTGTTGGTTCTCCAATTAGATTATTTTCTAAATTACAAGTTACTGGTTTGTAGGTATCATCACTTCCTAGATTTTTCCCTAATTTAATTTATTATTAAAACTACATTTGTGCACCATCTTGAAAACTCAATTACTCCTTTGTTAATGTCGTTTTTTATTCATTTCAATTACAGTTACCAGTTTTCATTATAAAAATGTAATAACCGTGTATGTAATTATTCATTTAAAAAATTCCTTTAAATAATATATTCCTTTTGTTTGTTTAAAATTATTCCACCTCTCACGAAGTATATTCATGCAGGTGTTTTTTCAAGTAACAGAGAACTCTGTAAATGTTACTGCATAAAATTTTAAATAGAATTCTTACTCGAGATATTCCTAATTTAATCAACATTTATTCTTGAAATTTCACGGAACGAGAAACCTCAAATATCCATTTGTAGGTCACGACTATCTGAATACAAAGCGCACGATTGAATTGCCCTAATTTTCCCTTTTTTCTCTCGGTAGTTTTTTTTTTTCCCACTATTCCCGTTGTGGAAGTTGTCCCGTACATTTTCCCGCAAATGCAAACTAATTTCAATTTCCTCTAGTGAATGCGTATAAGCAGGATGAATAGAAGACTACCTAATGTAACGTTCTATCAGATTTGAATTCTCTGCGGATTCTGCTCCAACATTTCCACGTATCTCTAGGTTGAATCTCCGAAGATATGACATGTAAATTGCTTAGTTTTGAACCCGATTCACGAATCTGCAAATGGCGTTGTGCGTGGGCTCTCCCCAGATGCAGGTTCACGCGACGTTTTACTTGGGCTTTGTTATTTAAATTTCAAATTATTTCATAATTGTGTTTTCTTTTGATCCGATTTATTATTCTGTTTTACCCCACGGGAATACGAGCCGAATTATTGGCGAAAGATTGCGCTCTGCCCTAAGATGTGAAACTAAACAATGGGGTACTTTGAAAATATTTTTGAGCCTCCCTTTACTTCGAATACTATAAAGGAGCCGATGCAATCAAAGACTTACAGGGAGACTTACGAGGGAAATGATCTAATTTTCATTGATTTTACCCTTTTTGTTCATTCATAAACGTTAATTGTATACATCGAGTCCTTTATAAATAAATATGCAAACAGTAAATTCTTCAGTATGTAACAATATGCTCTCTTAAATAAAATATATCACTCACAGTGAAGTGAGTGCTACTCATCCGCCTGGTCCGTTTAACTGTCTAATCGATTGAGTACAATAATTTGTTTATCTACTTTGGAAAAACTTTTAGCAAATATTAGGGACGGTGAAACTTTACCAAACATAACATACTTGATGGTTAAATAATGTTTATTAAAATTTCTCTGTCAAGTATGTCAGTAATTATATAGCAATAAGCAATAAGCCTGATAATGAATATTCTGAAACTCATAACATAGTAATGAATAATACCCATGCGCTATTTTCTATCAAGCAAATATTCAGGAAATGTACAAAATGCAGCAAAACAATTTCATATGTCTCCTCTACTGACAAAAAGGTCTTTGTTACAGCTATCATAATATGTCAGCTGTTATTAGTTATTATCTTCGACAGAATAGACAAACGCAACTAGATATTAGAAAATTACAAACATAAACAACAGAATCCGTTGCAGTAATAACTGAAATTAGATGAGGGTTATAATTAACTCTAATAATACTTAATAATAAACGGTTTGATAAGCCAAAAGAAATACAAAATAAAAAATAAAAAATATTAACAGATGCAATTTAAAAACAACAAGATGATGCAGTTTTCATAGCGTAGAATAGAGACGTCGATGAAGAATTCTACATCAGACTTTAAAAATTTAATTAAAATATCGCATTTAAAAAAATATATCGATTAACGTCAAAAAAACAGATAAGGTGTAAACGAAATTTTTATTAACTTATCAAAGAATATCCATGTTTAGAAATAAAAAAATAATAAAGTGAAATCGTCAAATGGCTTAACGCATAACAAAATTCAAGAAAAAAATATGAACAAGAAACAACAATGAAGAAAGAAATAAAAACCTTTAAATCTTTAATTTGGTTTGCCATGACGAAAATCTCAGAAAAAAAATTTTTTAAATCATTTTAAACAAAAAGATACTTTAAAGAAATGAATTTAAAATCCCAAGAAAACTAACAGGAAAGACTAGCTGGCAGAACAGGGAGTATCAACATCAGAAATACGTACAAAAAAATAAAAAAGACACATGAATGAAGGAAGCTATCGTCTTTGCGCTCATCTTTGCGCTGTACATTTGTTCGTAGATTTTAGCACATATTTTGATAAATTATAAGATTAATGGAGAGCTGAAACCAAGTGTAATTTGTTGGTAATATACGTCAGTCATATGATCGACAGTTACATATGGTTTTCTCAGCACCATACACAGACAAGTGCTCTTAAATATGACAGGAGCCTTGAATACTACAGGAATGGCATCTTCAAAGGCTATCACAGGTTGCCCCCTCTGGAATTTTATATTTAGCGGTAGCCTTTATGACTTTTCTAAGACTTGGAATAGAAAATAGGTCAAATTAAATGCCCTGCAAAAGGTGGATAGACGAACTAGAGGAAGATCTTAAAACCATAAACAGGCAGTGGCGAAGGAAAGTATCCGACAGGGCAAAATGGAAGAACGCTATTAATCTACAAAGAGTTCTAGTGCCATTAGAGAAAGACAAAAAAGAAGAACTTTTCTTTTAATGTTACTTTTTACTATAAGTTTAAAAGTATTAAGTGACATTTAACAGGAGCTTGAGACAACAATTGGTCTAAGAAATAATGTTTTTGATGCTTAATTTGATTGATTTCTATATTTTTGTAATATTATTATCGAAATATTGGCTTTAATGAATCCCTTTTTTGTTTCAGTATGAACCACTTCAAGGTATCAATGGAGGAAATGGGCTTCAGCACGTAGTCCTCTATGAATGCCAGGACAATAGCAACATCGAAAAACTAGCAGATACACCGGGACGCCAATGCTACGACAGCCATTCCCAGCCATTTTCATGTAACACAGTTGTCGCCAGCTGGGCAAGGGGATCTGAGGGATTTAGTTTTCCACCTGAGGCCGGTTATCCTCTAGATTCCCAAAATTCAAGATTTTATCTACTGGAAACGCACTATCAAACACCTTTAGATGGAAGTATGGGGGCTTTGGATGGGTCTGGTTTAAGATTGTACTACACCCCAGAGCTCAGAAGACACGACGCTGGAGTTATCTCTATAGGAATGGACCCTAATTGGAGACATATTATTCCTCCTGGTCAACAGAAAGTTGTGTCATCTGGACACTGTGTTTCTGCATGTACTCAGCAAGCGTTTCCTCATGGCGGCATTAATATGTTCGCGGTTGTGATGAAGACCCACAAAATCGGCAAACAAGTAGCGTTGAAGCATATTCGCGGGGGTGTTGAACAGCCTCCCATTGCTAGTGATGACAATTTGGACTCCGATTACCAAGAATACCGAAAATTAGGTGTGCCAGTGCGTATCCTACCTGGAGATCATTTGATTACTCAGTGTACCTATAATAGTTCCGGGAGGACTGCTATTACGCTCGGTGGTTTGAATAGTCGCGAAGAAACGTGCTTAGTGATGGGGTTGTATTATCCCCGACAAAAGTTCCTTGCAGCTTGTCATAGTTTACCTAGCTTACCTACAGTTCTTCATTCGTTGGGGATCCAAGAACTTAGTCCGTAAGTATTCATATTTTAAAATATATAAACTTTTAATAAACTTTAGAAAAATTTCCATTTTTTTTCTGCTTGAATATTCTGGTTTAATAATCGGTTATTAATCAAGAAGAGCTTTCTTCTGTTTAATCTGAGAATTCAAACAAAACAAAATATGATAATACTAAATATCTTTGTTTTCCGTTCTTTCTACCAACCTTAATCGATTAGACTCTTTTGATGTTTTCTATTATCTCTTTATGTATACTGCTTGCATTTTCACGTGTTTTTTTGCTGTCTTGTTTACTTTTTTTCTTTTTTTTTTACTTTCTTTCGTTCAATTTTTCAACGTTTCTTTCCATAGGTAGAGAAAAATAAGAGAATTATAAGAAACAAAGCTATAAGAGACTTACTCAATTAAATATCTGGGATGTCATTTCATGTCTGGAATATCATAAAACAACTAAACGAAAATAAAAAGATTCAAGTGAGAATTTAAGCATCTCGTAGTGCTTTTTGATAAGAAAACTATTTATCTATAAATCTTTTTTCTCAAAATTAGTTGAAAGGATGATGAAATGTTGTATTTGTCTTTGTTATCACATAAAGATGAGATTGGAGTCTAGAGGCTTGACGCCTAGGGCTTTGACTAAATAGAAAATGTTCCGAATATTTGAGAAAACTATGCTGAACAAAGCAGTTTTAAATGTAGCAAATCGGAGCATAACGGAGGGTAAAATCGAGGATATCAGAGAATTAAGAAGAAAATAACTGTCATGGATAAAAAATGATTGCGTTTGAACTTTTTTTCTACATCCTAACACAGGGTTGGCTATCCTGGATCCTACTTATACTTATACCATGCACAAACATGCCTTATCTAACTGTCCCACACCAACTTTGCGCACTCGCGATAAATATAATTTCGTCTGAACTTGTTAAATTTTTTTTTATTTGTTTAGTCACTCCTACATTTATGTATTTTTGTTTTTGAAAGAACCATGCGCTTTTTTGTTTTTTTATCTGAATTTATTAACACTCAGTATTGTATATCAAACTAAGCACAGGTATATAGAATTTGCTCTTCAGTTTCATTGGTATTTTTCTGTCACACCAGACCACCATCGATTTATCCTGGTCGTATGCTACTACATACATCCCCATTTCTCTGTAATATTTTGGTTTTTTATTTTGTATGTCCGTCCAATAAATCTAGTCTTGGCCTCCTCCAAACTATGCCTTCTACCTTGCCGGTCACCTACCGATCTCCTCCAGCTTCTCTCTTTTTGATTCCGCACTGGTGTTACAGCCCAAATCGAGCTTTGGCCTGCTTCAAACTCTGCCTCCAACCTTGCTGGTCCTGCGCCGATCTTCTCGAGGTTCTCTCTTTTTCTCTCTCCAATGATGCTATAACTTAAACCGAGCCTTGGCCTCCTCTACACTCTGCCTCCAACCTTGCTGGTCCTGCACAGATCTTCTCCAGGTTCTGCCATTCCATCCTCCCACCTTTTCTATGGCCTGACTTTTGGTCTTGAGCCCTGCATGTTACTATCTAGGGCTCTTTTTGGCAATCTTTTAGTCTCAATTGCGCGTCCGCTGAAATTTCATCCTCCCACCTTTTCTGTGGCCTGACTTTTGGTCTTGAGCCCTGCATGTTACTATCTGGGGCTCTTTTTGGCAATCTTTTAGTCTCAATTCTCACTACATGATGTTTAAGTCTCTGAAGTTTAACGAATTCTGAGATCGATGTCTCTTTGAACAGTTGGTAGAGTTCAATATATTCTTTCGGACTTTTCTTTTGAAAACATACAGCTTTCGTTTTGTGTTTTCTATCTGTGGGATACTATTGGTCTCATAATAGTTTTATGGACCCTGATTAATGATCTCCAGTGTATATTTTTGGAGCAGAACATATGGGCAAGTGAAAAGTAAGCTTTGTTTTTCTTCAGTATTCTTCTTTTAATTTTTGGTTCTTCCATTCCATCCGTGTTTAATGTGAAACTTTATACCGTTTCAATACCGTCCTCTTATTCAAATGTGCGTCTGTTTCCCCTAGCTCTTGCAAGCTTTAACTTATTGTTTGTTGAATATTTATTTCTAGTCTCTTTTTCCCCTGTTTTTAATTGTGTTTTTGCCACCTCTTCTGTTCTGCGAGACATAATGCTAATGTCATCGGCATAGGCGGAAATATGTACTCATTTAGTTGTTAGGAGATTACGTCTTCCTATATTCAGCTGTCTTATCACATATTCGAGAGTCAGGTTGAGTCGTGTTGGTGTCAACCCCTTCTTGCTTGAATCCTTTGACTATTGAAAATCATTTTGTACTCTGAGGCTGTTGACGAGTCCATTGTTGCTTCTCCTAGTTAAATATGGTTTTGGGGGATGTTAAACCTATTTAATATTTGATATAATTTTTGTCTATTTATTGAGTCATAGGTCTGTTTAAAATCTATGAATACCATCTATTAATTATTCTTTGCCATTATACTTTAATTGTTATAAAATACATAAACTCTATGATTTGCACAACATTTCTTTTGTTTTTATATACAAATAATGAGATACTGCTTCTTAATTCATCTGGATTTGTTCCAGTAGCATAATTTTATAAAACAAACCTGTAAGCTAAATATTTCCATCTTTTCTAATACCGATGATGCTCCAAAGATAAAATTTGTTATAGCTGCTTTATCATTCGTTACTTTTTCATTGCTTGACTAATTTCCGAGTTACATATTTTGGTCGCCATTTCTCTTATTTTGCGGCTGGTTCTGATGGTTTTCTTTAAATATTTTTATAGTGTTATTATTTTTTGTTTCATGTTTGGCTAGTTCTTGTATATCTTGCTTTCAACGTCTGCGTTGCAGTTCATGAAAGGTTCTTACTTAGATGAATCGATATGATTTGGACTGCAATTTTAGATTCTCTATGTCAGATGTTTATCATTCTGCTTGCTTTATAAATCGTAGAGGGTAGAGATTTGAGAAAGAATTTATATTTTGGTTTCGATCAAGTAGAAATCTTCCAATTCTTACTTCTTGCTTAGTTCTTAGATGTCGCCGTTTGAATCTTAAAGAAGTTTTTTCATTATTACTTCCTTCGTCAGAATTATTTAATTTCATATTTAGGGCTTCTTACTGAGTCGCACTGGCGAGTACTAAAAGGACGAAGTCCGTATAAGCGAATTATACAGGCATATACGTGAGATCAAATCTAAACTGTCTTTTCTTTAATAAAACCAGTTTATGAGGTTTAAAGTAAGTGTTTTTCATTAAAAAAGTTGGTATAACTATTTTCAGATTCGACAATCTTTGAATTCCGATTTCGAGTAAAACAATTAGAGCGAAAATCCAATATTTTAGAATGTTAAGTCCACCCACATCATATAAAATATTGCCATATGAAATATTAAACTGAAGTTTAAAGTGGTTCTAACTCCAGCCTAAGTATCCATAAAATAGAATTTTAAATAGTTTTTCAATTAAACTCCACTCGTCTGCAACGGCCGGCATAATCAAATGGGAACCAATTTGGGGCAATTTAAGTTACTATACAAATATGCGAATAAAACTACTTCGCAGCTCTGCACTGCAGTGAAAAAGATGGAAGTTATAAATGGAAGTAGTACGCGAGTTTATGACACGCTTAAAAACTTTTAACTTTTAAACGTAAAATAAAATGCTAACCGCAACTTTGGGAATTAGTGATGAAAATTGTTTGGTAGTAGTTAGTGTTGTTACTGCGGCTACGGTGGAAAATGCCTACGGATGTGAGAACATTACAATAGAAATCAGCATGGAATATTCAAATGTACAGCATTCTATAAAAGAGTGCTTGTTTTACAATATTTCTGCCCATAAAAAGTTTGTTTTATCAGTATTATTTGTGATCTATTTCGAAAATATCAACTTTTCCGTATCTATTTATTTTTTTTTCATTAGAGACAAAAGTCACATCCACCAAAAGGTTATTAGCAACGGAACAAAATATAACTAACAAAATTAAATAACTACAGATTATAGAAAATATTTAAAGATCTTAGAAATTTAATTATACTCTCATAGCAACACTCCTGACCTAGAGCTGCTAGATATTGTAAGGATGTCTTTCTTGTTCAGATTTACCACAATTTGTTGAAAAGTGCTTAACTGTTAATCGAACGTTACACTGATCACATATGGGTGGGTTATTCTTTGTGAAGGAGCTGCACCGATAATATGTTTGTTTTGAAACACATAATAGAAAACAGATCAAGTACCAACCAAGAAACCCACCTTATGTTTATAGACCTTCAGAAAGCCTATGATACTGTACCCGCTAAAAAGCTATGCAAAGTACAGGAAATAAACATTAAACACATAGTAATTAACGCCCTTAAACAGCTTTATGAAGGATCAACGTCGGGAATAATAATTGGAAATAGACTTTCAAAAAAATTTCCTGTAAACAAGGGACTCCGGCAGGGGTGTTGCATATCCCCCATATTGTTTAAAATCTACGTGGCGAAAGCATTGTATCAGTGGAAGATAAAGTGCAGAGAAATGGGCATTGACCTGGTAGAAACTCGCCTATATACCCTACAGTTTGCAGACGATCAAGTCCTTGTAGCCAACGATAAAGAAGACCTGACATATATGGCCAGAAAACTACAGGAAGAATACAAAAAGTGGGGTTTAGAACTCAATACACAAAAAACAAAATATCTCCCAATAGGCGCAGAACTATCCAACATTCAGATGGACATAACCGAAATTGCATTCTGCACTGAATATACCTACCTAGGAATTGATTTTGACACCACAGGCACAGGCAATAGGGAAATTAGAAAACGAATAACCCAGGCACGTAGAACAATTGGATGCCTTAGGAGTTCTTTGGAGCTCAGAAATTGGTAAAAGACGAAAATACAATATATATGAATCTCTCATAACAACCAGCTTAACCTATGGTACAGAGACATGGAGACTAACAGAAAGCAATAAAAAAAAACTCGAAGCAACAGAAATGGATGTATTTAGACGATCACTTCGAATATCTAGGGCAGACAGAATTAGAAACGATGAAATAAGGAATCGGATGGGGGTAGATGGATCACTGGCAATAGACGTAGAAAGGAAACAACTTATATGGTATGGCCATGTTCAAAGAATGATGCCAGAAACAAGACTACCAAAAATCGCCATGAAATGGATACCACCAAATCGTAAGAAACGAGGAAGACCAAAAAGAACATGGAAGGAGAGAATAACAAAGGCAATGAGCTCCTGAGACTTGACCGAAGAACAATCGAATGATAGAAATTCGTGGAAATTAGGCATCGGACAACGACGCAAGACGTTTTGAAACCGATATATATATATATATATATATATATATATATATATATATATATATATATATATATATATATATATATATATATATATATATATATATATTCTTTGTGAAAAGTTAAGAGTGTGTTAACTTGGTATGTCCTAGACGTAGACGAGCAAGCACAATTTGTTCACGCATGTTAAGCGATGATAGAATCCACTTTGAAACACAAATTTTGATCTTATGTAGCTTAGAATTAATTTGAGACTACCCATTTCGCCACAAACACAACACTTTATTTTTAAAATAAGCTTTTAAGTCACTGGGAACACCTTGTCTCTAAGCTCCGAACAATCGCTTAAAATTGCCTTTCGTGCAGTTCTGTCAGCTTCTTCGCTTCCCATTATTCCGACGTCTGAGGGTAACCACAAAAATTGAACTCTTCTTCCATGTTGACGAGCTTGAGGTAGCTAGTATTTTAGTAAATTTTCAGAAGGATGTTTCGGAAAAATATGTTTTAATGAGTTTAGAACTAAGGAAATCTGCTCTGATCAGAGCTTTTGAGAAGGTAAGCTCGTTAAAAAGTTTCACAGCACTGTATATAGCGTAGAGCTCAGCTGAATGTGTGCTACATACTGGGGGTAGACGGAAAAGAAGATTGTTTTCTAAGGAAACGATTGATGCCCCTACTCCGTCTTCTGACTTGGATGCATCTGTATAGATTTCATAGTAGTCATTGTACTTTTCTAAGAGAGCTTCGAACTTTAGCCGAATAAGGGTTGTTTTTACTAGATTTATCGAAATGAGCCAGAGATGTATCACAGATTGGTAAAATTATCAGCAAAGGCTCAGGGTATTTAATATGCGAGCAGAAAACATCCAAAAAATTATTGTTTTGCATTATGGATTTACTTCTTTCGTAATATAGTTTGTTAGTATAGCGAATAGCGAAATTTGTTTACATATTTATTTGTAAAAGTATTTTGATATATTGGTTTTAAAATATTACAAACCACTGAATCTGCATATGATAGGACGAGGAACATGCGGCGGTGATGTAGCGATGGTTCTCCTAAAAGGCCATAAATGCTGGGTACCGGGGAAGTTGGAAAAACCCCAGTAATTAATCTAAGATATTTAAAAAAAAATAAAATCTAATGATTTGAGAAGAGATTGATTAGCAGTGGAATAGGCAATTGCGTCATAATCTAGCTTAGAACGTATTAAAATTTATACAGAAGTAGAGTAGATTGGTCTCAGTTTTTGTTACAAGGAGATCTTAATACATTTAATCTTTTATTACAGAAAAGGATGAGTTGTGAGATATAATTTTTCATGTAAGCTTTATATCAAAGATTAAGCCCAAGAATTTGTGATTATCTCTAAACACCAGCTGTTTCTCATATATTCTGAGGGTTGGGGGTTGTGGCATGGAGCTTGAAAAGAATACAACTCCTGTTGATTCTACTATTGAAAATTGAAAACCTGTAAGGTGAGACCAATTTTCGAGAGTATCTAAAAAGTTTTGAAGAATTATGGGCATTAAGGAGATATTTTTGCCTTTAAAATATACCACTAGGTCGTCAGCGTATAAACGGGCTTGTAAGGGTAATGTTATTCTGTGTTTCTCTTAAAATGCTTTTAGCTATACAACTAGAAATCTTTTTTAGATATTGGTTTTCAAGTTCTTATATTTCGTCGTCTAAATAATACTTCATACGTAACCATTTTTGAGTTATTTCTCTTTTTCTAGCCTTTTTTTGTCTGATCATTTGCAAAAAATTAGGATTATACTAGGTTTTCAACCTGAATTTCCATGAACATTTTTAGATTTGTTAAACATTAGTTTTGATAATAGTTAATCTCGTTTTTCACGTTCAATGTTACCAGCAGTATAAAGATCCATATTCACTCTATATTATAACAAATAAAATCAATATTCTTAGTTCCCTAAAAGATAAATAAAAAGGAATACAATCAAGCAAGTCCTGTACAGATGCCGCCTTGCCCTCGCACAAATCAGTGAAAAATTATTTGAGTACAGTATAGTGTATTTTTATGTATGAGAGAGTAATAAAACAATAAATTATGTATGCAAATCCCTAAACTGTTGATACGGGTGACTCAATGAAAAACAGATATTTGTCAACAAGTTTACAGAAGTATATAGGAAAACAATTTTAAATTGAGTATGACCACCAGGTATAAAGGTTGGAGCAAAATAGAATACAATAGTTGTGAGGGTTACTAATCCCTAAATAAGGTTGCCAGTGTCGGAGTGATGGAGGTTAACAGGTACTAATGAATTTGCAAGAAATGTAAGATGTTTATTTTATTGGTTATATATAACCAATAAAAGTTTAATAAGTACCTACCTAATTGCAAAATAAAGTTTAATTCTTTAGATAAAATAAAACGTTTTATTTTATCTGAAATGAGTGCATTCCACGAAGTAAGGGTTTCAACAATCAAACATTTAATTCTTTAATTCCAATAATCTACGACAGTAATTGACTAGATAATTACCTTCTAAACTTATTCCACAGAAAATGTGATAGTGGGTTTTTCCATTTTGTAGGAAGGTCCAAGTGGCGTATTCAAAATTCTTAACAGTTCACTAAAAGTAGGTACTTCAGTTGCAAGGTGCGTTTATTGTGTATACTAGTGTTATGGAAAATTTGGAAGTGCCGTGTAAACGCCGAAAAATTGGTCCTTTAACAGTTAATGAAAAAACATTAATATTTAATCGTTTTAAATCATTCACAGACAAACGTTTATGTGAAAGTGTTGATGAGACCGTTGAGTTAGTTAGCAGTACACTTGGTGTTGGGAAATCTACGATTTACAGAGTTATTAAAGAAAAGAAATGTGGTAGTTTTCAAATGCCACGTAATGCTCCAGGGAAACCAAAATTTCAAATAGAATATCATTTTAAAGAAGGACTTCGACGGAAAGTGCAAGTTATCACTCCAGACTTATAGAAGGACTGCCCACAACCAAGTGGTTAAAAAAAGACTTGCAGAATTGGCTGAGTTCAAAAAATATTACGTACCATCCCGGATCTATAAGAAAGGAACTTTATTCGTTGTGTGCCCTTCATATAGAAAAATTTAAAAAATACGAAATTGATGAAATTGCCAAAAATCGTGGAATGACAGTACTTAGATCCCCACCATATCATTGTGAATTAAACCCGATTGAACTGGTATGGGCACAGATAAAGAGTGAGGTTTCAAGAAAAAATACCACTTTTAAAATTCATGATGTTAAACAGTTATTTTTTGAGGCCGTAAATAATGTAAAACCTGAAAACTGGGAAAAGGCAGTAAATCACACTATTAAAGAAGAGGAAAAATGTGGAAGATGGACAATATTACTGATAAAATGATCGAGCCAGTTATTATAAATCTTGGTTCTGAAAGTTCATCTTCTGAATCTGATTTGGATTTGTAACAAGTAGCTGTAAGTTTTATATTAATATTTTTATTCATCTATTTAACATACCTCAGACGGTTTTAAAAACTCTTTTTCTCTTTTGTAATTTTTAAAAATTGTGTAAAATAAAAATGTGAATTTTTTAAAACCTTTTTTAATGTAGGCCAGTCAGTTCTAATGTAGTGTGTGATAAAAGAAGTCACTTTTGTTTACATACACATAACACTTTATAACACTGAAATAATTCATTTATTTTTTACAATTATTCAAAGTAATTTTTCAGTTAATCTTGAGCACGCCCATGGAGTGGTCGGAGCTACCAGTTAAAATTATGCTAATTACTCTCTCGTTCATTAAAATAAACTATAACATATTATTAAACTCAACAGACTTTCAGTTAAACCGCCTCGATTATCACTATGCCGAGTTTTCGACATCCTCTCTGATGTCTTCTTTAGAGCTTTAAAGGTCTCAATCTCCCGAGTACTTAGACTACATGATCACTAAATAATAGTGCATCGATGCGATTGACCTATATTTTATTGTTGATTTGACCCTTGATTTGTTTATTGTAATCAATAAATTGCATATTCAAATTTGAAAGATTTTCTAATATCTGTTATCTTAAAATACGATCAAAAAATAGCCTATGGTAAGCAAGTAAAGTATGTAAAAAGCAATTAGACATATTGTTACTATTTAATAAACAGGAGAAATATTGAGTACATACTCATATATGCTATCTAAAGTATATATTTATTATAAATAAACTTAATCCCTACTCTTATTTGTATATTCGATTAAAAATGTTTTTTGTTCCAGCGGATCTAATCCTGTGAGAATAACAGCACCACCTGAGCTAGCAGGAATGACTTTGGAAACACGGTTAGTATCCTACGACTGGGACAACCAGTTCCAAAGCTTTCAAGATGCGACGATGAAGGGTTCCTTTAAACCTTTGTGCTGGACTTCCCAAGCGACTCTCCTACCGGTAAGTAATATTTATAAAACTGTTAAATTCTAAAAATATTTGTTGTACACAAAATATAATAGTGACATCGCCCACATTATTCAAAGGTCATAAACTATTTTGCTATATGCTGATGACACGCATTACTTATCGCAGGTACCCTCAGAGGGACAAAGAGAATATGTTTGACAGGGCACAAATTGAACTAAACAAAATAGTGAGAAGATGCAACAGATGGAGGGTTACTCTAAACCCCACTAAAACTAAAGTAATCCTATTCACAGGGGAATCGGATAACTCTCTTAGGAGAAAAACTCGAATACAAACCGTAGCTGTCGTGTTTGGGAGTGCATCTTAATAAGTCTCTCAATTGGGACACTGATATCTAGCATACTAAAGACAGACTAAGAAAGAGAGTCAATCTCTTGAGCGAGATATCCGGTAAAAGAGCTGGCACTAGCTCCAACACCCTCTTACACACCCATAAAAGATTTATCAGAACTATTATCGAATACAAGGCATGTATCCATGCATTACTCAACAAACGACGCGATAGTCCAAAAAAATCTTCGCTACTGGGAGAAAGATCCAGTGGAGATGTATGAGAAAACTCATTCACTTTCTAGCATGTATCCTATTGAGAACAAAATCCATCCATACGTACTACGGACTATAAATGGCCTTAACAACCGAGCTAAATGGACCCTTAATACTCCTTGCTTTCGCCTATGGCACATACCAGGAATCCCAATAAAAAATTTCCATTCTCTCCAGTCAAACTTCTACACTTGACTGATAACGAATTTCCTGATGAGCATCACGACGTCCTAGAAGCAGCTCTTATAAAATATGGCAGATTAAATAAGCTGCCAGCTTAAAATGCTAATTCAAGAGCCGTTCCCACCTAATATCTGGTGACAGCGGAGGTGCTGTCTCCTCGAGGCGTTCTTAGGCTTTTCACCAAGCACCATCAGCTTTCCCTGCTCGGCTAACAGCATATCGCCACTCCTCCTTTTACTCACGTTGATTTACCTTCCAAAGCTCCCGTAAAAAAAGAACCTTACTTGAAGAGACACATTGCCTAAATAGGGTAATAACGTTGGAGATTCGATACAAATATTTGAACTAGTTGATCAAAATTCAAACATTTCTCTCTTTAATCCTGATCACCGGAGAAAGTGTAGTGGTCATCATAATGTTGTGTATTTTTCTTCTCTAAAAATCGCTGTTTCAGGTCATTTCTTTTAACTCATGCATAGATCTTTTGCATATTCCTGAGATCTATTTGATCGATCCGTCTTGTTGAGGATCTTCGGCCTTCCACCTGTCCTTTGATAATAAGTATATCCATGTTTTCATAATTCAAACATAAATAAACATTACAACATTATTAAAGGAACTTAATTCTATGGAGATTATACATATACGCATAATGACTGAAAGACTAAAGTATGAGAAGAGAAAAAAAGTATAATAGTATAAAGAACGACGACGGTAGAAATTCAGCAAGGTTAACGAGATAAATCCTTTAGCTGATTAAGAAGATTAATAGAAAACAATAGAATATATTTAAAAAAGAAATAGGATAAAAGGATACATGGAAAAATAAAACTGATAAAAAAAATTAAGCATTTTACTGAAAAAATAATATATTTATATACCATGAAAAAGAGCATTTTCTTATCAATTTCTTTTCTTTTCAGGACACCGATAAAGAATCCCACTATCCCAACATATCCAGACCATATGTAAAGAATGTGATCGATCAGTGCAACTACAGAAAATACAGCACGGAAGGTTGGCCAGGTGGTACACCATTGATCGAACTTGATGGTAACCACATAGAGGGAGCGGCACGAAGCAAAGTCTCTCGTAGCAGTAGTCCCGCAGTAGAAGAATCCCTTGGACTGAGCAGGTTCAACTCCGCACCTGCTCAATCTGTACATAGTGTCGTTATAGTGCTATCAGTATTCCTCGTGTGGTTTAATCGCTGAAGAAACGTTGTTTTTAGGATTTTTAAATATTGATCTTCTCCTAAGACCAGAGAGACGTTTATTGTGAATTGTTTTTGTTTAAGTCATGTTTTAACTAGTCCGATCGGCCAGAGGTTTATTAGACTGTGACCAGTGTGTTAGTTGGTTTTTAAAATAAGTATGATGGTGTAAAGGTAAAGCGTTTAACGACTACCTTCAGGTAAGGATGTTTACTTGGAATAGTTAGGTGGAAATCTGAAGAAATGTAGTACAAGTTGTTAACCTTTTAAATAGCACTTCATATGCGAACAAGTTTGGTAAACTAAATAGTTTTTAATTACCTTTTCCAAAAGAGTGTGTCGTCAGCCTTACTTTCATTTTGCCTTTTGTACCATACATCTATACTATAAGTTCATTGCAGTAACTTTAGTATGATACCAGTCTTACATGACCAATGTTAAAGTTCTCAATTTGAATAAATAAAAAAGAATAAAAAAAACACTCGGTTTATGATATTGGCTGAAGCCAAAAGCAAATAGATTTGCTTATTTAAGTACTACAACAGCAGTAGTAAAGTACTACTTTGTTACAAGGGTTGCCCTCATTATACCTTATGACAATTTTTAAACTTAAAAGCAAATAGCACTAAATATATTCTTGAAGTAATCTCGCTATACATCTAGTATCGAAGCCATGATATAAACACTCATTTTTTGCTGAAAGTTTCGTTATGTTTTTAGTTTAGTCTGTATTATACCTGTCATTTGTCTTCTTCTTCTTCTTCACGTGCCATCTCCGCGACGGAGGTTGGCAATGATCATGGCTATTCTAATCTTAGATCTTAGATGCTTAGTGTCATTTGTCACTATCTGTCACTATCTGTCAAATAATATCTTTCGAGACTTTTAAGTTGCCCAGGGTAATTTATAAGCGAATCTTTTTTGCAATGAGTAAATTTGTAGTGAATTTGACACATTATGCCAGTCAATCGTAAGTTCTCAGTTCAAATTCTAGAAAAACGATTTTTCCAATTCCAACATCCCTTTTAGTTAGCGCATAGTGAAACGACGATCTTCTTCAATTTTATTGTGGGTCTCATACTTTTGATATTCTATTCTTTGGTATTGTTGTGTCGCAAGGCCGACAGAGGGAGCCTAAACCTTAGAAGACACGAGGCTCTGAAAAAATTGGAACTCTTTAACAAAATTTATTTAACAATAGAATACAGCAAAAAGACACATTATTTTTAAAAGTGATATAGAAAACAATTAAAACAAACAAAGTTAAAATATATTTGAAAAGAAACCTTGACTTTAAATAAAGAACAATTATTGTACCGAGCAGAAAAGAATAAAATTAATATCAGGCGTTACGTCTTACTTTTTCGATTGATTAATATCAAACTAAATAAAATTTATGTCATATTATAAGTAATTTTGTTGAAAACAAAACGGCTAACAGATACGCTTGTTGTAGTAAACTTAATCAAAATATATAAGTCAAAATACAACCCATAAATTTCGGTAACATCCAAATCTAAACTCATAACATGAATAAATTTGAATAAAACAAGATACATAATAGCTGAAGAAAATTTAGTTTCTTTAGTGTGCCCTCTGGCAGAGAAATGAGGGTCCAGGTATAAAGCCATCAATAACCACCCACATATTATTATTCGAGCATGATAAAAAGCACAAGTGTGAGATTCAAACAATTCTCATCTAATAATATCTATCTAAAACTAGAAAACTAAGGTGTTCGAAAAAGTTCTAAATCTGAACATTTTTATTGTGATTTGTGTATCTTCCTTACAAGTTGAACTACACCTTATACAAGCTCCACATAAATATTTGGGTGTTATCTAAAGACACAATGTTTTGTTTTTATTTACGTTCCCAATCAATTCCTGTACCGTAAATAATAAAGACAACACACCATTAAGTAAAAAGTAACAAGAGGTTCAATGAAGGGGAAAAATGAAACAATGGCTATAAATTTAAATCTAATCAACCATGTCCCATTTGAGTCTACTAATCACAAAAGTAGTCTGTCCTGAATGTGTAATGGCTACGGGGTTTTTGTTAATGGTCTTTTAAATCGCTTTTTATGACCTTCAGATAAAGAAAAAGCGTGACATTTTAACTGATAATGTTTTTTATTTTAAATCGGTATTTTATGAATATAGATACATTAAATGCATAGAATATAGAGACAAGTGTCTCTAAATATTACTATTTATATATTCCAACGAGATTCTTGTCCCACATTTTTATTTTTTGATAGTTTATAATTAATTAATTTCAATAAAAAATGTAGAGATGTCTTTGGCTGTGATAACAGTTACACTCGCCACCAAACTATTGTAAAAATAGTTTAATTTCCCATCCCATTAATGGGATTCGCAGAAAACCTTTTGTTGTAATAAAAGGCACAATAAACTGCACTGAAGTTCTCCGTAATATTTTTAATTACTTACTTTGTTTAGAATATTTTTGCCTGTATTATCAGTTAGAGTTAATTTGTATAAAATGAGGAGTGACAATTCAAATGGAATTTTAAATATCATTGTTTATTTGGCTATAAATGAATGTATAAATACAATGATTAACCTGCTTTACAGTTATTTTGTAAACAACGTTATGACCGTGTATTTATTGATTATTTAAATTTATAAATCATTATCATTGTCACTAAATTCACTACCGCTATCAATATGTTAATCTATAATTACGAGATTAATTTCACTAATTTTATTTTCTCCGATCCACCACTCTTCTATTAATTTTTCACATTTATTTAAAGTTTTGGACCATATTTCTGGAGTTGCAGTTTTAAGAGCTTCTTGCCACATTTCCCTAACTGTATCGTCATTATATCTAATGGATCCAGCGTGGTTATCATAATCCGTTTTACATATACCCCAGATGTGTTCGATAGGATTAAACTGGCAGTGATACTGCGGTAACCGTAGTACTTGATGTCCAAAAACTTGATACAATTTGGTAAACTATAATATAAACTGTTGGTTTTTCATTGCGTTTCGAAATTTCCAGTAACTCTGATTTGAAGCCGAATTCCGAAAAATTGATGTTATTTTTAACTAACCAACTTTTTATGCTCGGGTACGTTCCACGACTGTTTTGGTTGTTTCTTCAAAATCTCCGAATGGTAAGGTGTATTATCTAAAACTATAACTGATGGTTCACTTAGACTAGGTAACCGTGTCTCCTCAAGCTATTTAACAAACATATCTGCATTTCATCTCTGCATTATCAAGTCTGCGTTTTTTATAAAGCCATCTTTCCCTCCTGCATAAAGAATGATGTGTCTTTTGCCTTCGCTAGCTGTGTGTTTTATTGATTAATTGCTGACGTCTTGCTAAATTCTTTTAATACCACTCTTTGCAAATATCAATGTCTCATCTAAGTAAACAAATGTTGCATTATTAGATTTAAGTATTTTAGTATATTCTCTCAAAATTTTAATTCTTTTGAAAACTAGACTACTCCTTTCGCATAAAAGTAACCTATTATGTATTTTTTTTAAATTTAAATCCCAAATCTCATCAACACTTTCCAATTTTAATTTCAAAAACTTGTCTTTTTCTTATTTTGCAAAAGACATTATTTCTCTTTCAAATTTTTCTCCATCGGATAAATCAATGCTCCTAGAATGTTTTCGATTTGTTTTCTTATCTTTGTGATACTCAGTCACAGTCAAATCTTCTTGAGAATCTCTGATAGTCTTATATTCTTATATATATATATATTATATATATATATATATATATATATATATATATATTCTTATATATATATATATATATATATATATATATATATATATATATATATTCTTATATTCTGATACTCTAATCATTACAGTTTTTACCATAATAATGACTTTAAAGATGCATTATTGTGTCTTTTCATAGTAAAGTATTTATGCACATTTGCAATTAATTCATCAATATCCAACTTACTCCTAGATGATAGTCACAGGCATGATGGTCACTTAAGACTATACGTTATAACTGAAACTTTTTAACTGTTGTGCTTGAGAGGTAAAATATAATATAACCGCTTACACAGATCCTAAACACATTAAGCAAATCACCCTAATGCGCATAAGGAATATATATGTACCCGGTATTTAGTCGGCACACGTCCTTCCGGTAGGAATCTATGGAGGAGTATCACCAAGCCGCAAGCCCTTATCTCTTGCCGTACTGCTCCACCATAGGCCGATATACCAGCATTGTAATTTAATTATGTTTGATAAAATGTTTGGAAATGGTTGGAAACTGTACATAAACAAATTAAAATATTTCCCACAATTATTTTATTTTTCGTACAAGTATTTTCATTTGAAAATTAAAAATTGAAATTTGAAAAAATTATATAAATTACTAGACTTTTATGTGGATCTGGTTTGCTCAGTGCTCTTGTATCTAGACGATAACAACTATTTATATAGTAATACTAAATTCTTGATGAAGCTGCCTTATTGTAAGGAATGTTCGCCTCATTTCATTTTAAGTCACTTATTTATAGAATCATTTAGAGTTTGTCAGCTCTCTGGAGCATCTCTGGGCTAAATTTTTCTGCCGTGTCATGCACCCCATGGAACCGGAGGTGTTACATCTCAGGTTTGTCAAGTTTAGTAGGCGGAGAACAAAGTATTAGGGATTATGTATTTAAAACATAAAAATCAATAATCACCCAAATACTTAGTTTATACCTAGTAGGACAAAAAAACTAGTCTTACTTTAAACAAAAGGAAAACCAGGGATAAATGGTAAATTTTTTTAGTGGTAGAATGAACTCCAAATATGAGGTGAAACTTGTGAAACAAACTGTAATTTAACTGATTTGTTCTTTCTTTGTCCAATCTTCTTCTTACGGTGCCTTATCGTTAAGGACGTTGGCCATTACATTTGCCCATTTAATCTTATTTGTAGCAGCCCTGAATAGTTCTATGGAGATCATGTTCGTCCATTGCCGTAGGTTTTTAAGCCAAGA